CCTTCCCGGATCCGAGCGACTTTGTCATACAGATATTGTGCAAAATCCTCGGCCCTCCCCTCCAGAGGATCCCCCCCTCCCCTCAGTTGGAGGAGAGAGCGGGTCACCCTGAAGAGGGCGGCCGGGCGATTATCTGATGACGCGATGAGCGAGGAATAGTAGTTAGCCCTAGCCACCCTCATCGCCACTAGGTAGGATCACTACCACTTTTCAAAAGAATATAAATATAAAATCATACACATATGTGCACATACATATACATATGCTATATATAATTATGGAAATCATGTACACAAAATAAAATAAAATAAACTGGAGCAAATTTTAACTAATTCTAGTTGTATAGTACAATGTGGATACATGTGTGCATGCAGGCATACACACACATACACACACATACACACACATACATTTTTGGTAGGGAATAAATTAAGAAAGGGATTGGCAACTTTTGCAGACTGATGGACATATTTGGAATTTGTGGGCATTTTCACCAAATGGTAGACCTAGCCTTTTGTGGAATATTAAAAAGCATCCATTTTCTATGATTGTTACAACATTCAAAGCCATTTTGTATTTCCACTTGACTATTTTCATTCCTCTTATTTATGATGTATTTTTAATCCTAACTGTATGCCACCTTGAGACATATGGAATTAGCAGGTTTTATAAATTGAATAAATTTATATGTTTAATTGCAAATGAATAGAGAATGTTGATATCAAGTTTCAGCTTTTTCTTCATTTTCATTATTTCAACTTCTTTTGAAAAAAAAATAAAAAGACAGGCTAGAAAGACTGACGGGTAGCCAAGTGCTACTGGGCATACTTTTTTTTTTCTTTATTTGTGTCAGAAATATCTTCAGATTATAGACATATACCGCTCAACACACAGCAGGTAGAATAAGTATAAAATAGGTCAGAGAGAAATAGCCCATTTAAAAAAGTATGTAAAATAAATAGAATTAAAACTAGATGACATTCGCCAGTATTGGGCCACAGAGATAGCATTTTCTCTCACCAGCATGAGGTCTTCTTCTGTCATGTTGAAAGACATGTTATGCACTGTGGTATATATGAGATGGACATACTGGTGTATGTGAACAATATTTCATTCTGTACCTATGTTCTGTGTTTTCAACTATGCTCACCTTTTCCATATAGGTGTAGAGGACCACATCTGGAGACAAAGTGTCTTCTTTCAGCTTCTGAACCAGTTCCACCAGAGGCAGAGAAAGGATGTCACCTGTTGGTATCCCAGGGTTCTGTAATGAAAGGGCACAGTACAACACTCCCCATAGATTTGATAGAGCAGATGCATAGCTTTTTTGAGAGAGGGCAGACGGGCTAAGTGGCTATTGATGGCAAGCCAGCAACCATAAAAATAATGGATCATATCAGGACACTGAAAAACTGAAGAAGCTTCTTGGATGTAAAGCAAAACTTTTGCAAAGAAAAAAAAACCAAGGCAGTCCAGTTGCCTTTGAGACAAACTTTGGCATAACCATGACTTGGATGATTGAGAATCTCAATAGATATCAAGACTAAATTTTTACCTAATTTCATTGACATTTAATTTCATTAAAATTAAACACAAGGTAAATGCTTATTTTACAGACATGCATTTGACTTTTTTTTCCCCTTCTATCTCATTACAGTTACCATCACGTTAAATTTTGGGATGGGTCTTGGGAGTTGTTCCAAGGTTTTCATGGGCCACATCTGACCTTTAAAGCTCCAAGTTCTGCACCTCTGCTGTAGAACATAGGTACTGCAAATCTTTTGAGAGACTTTTCTGTTCTACTTGACCCAACTTTCATTTTGTGTCTACTAAGAAGATAAACTGTAAGATATGACAGTAGCATACCACAAATGGCTCCTCACCCTAAATGTGGGCACCCAAATTGCCACTTAATTCAGTAGCAATCCTTTTGGTTAAAGTTGTATTTAAAAGTAAACTTCACCCCATGAAAATTTTCAGAAGTCCCTCTCCTCCATGTGTAGTCATGAAATATCCTTCACTTTTACTTAAAAGAGAGATAGTGATCAACCCAACCTTAATAACAAGAGCCAAACAACAGGAAAATAACAAAAATCAAAATTTAGTAGTGTAGTAAATATCCATTCATAATTATTTACTAAAATTCTATCTTATCCATTAGCCTATTAGTCCAACTCCTGTAAACTCAAAAAAATATATTTAAATACGCACTTACATAAACATTAAATATAATAAGTAAATGTAAAATGTAATAAGTACAAGTAACACATGTAATAAGTACTTATACAAGTACTTATAATGTACAAGAAATAGTTAGGAAACATGTACCTGGCTTTTAAATGCCTGCACTGATTTTTCCATTTCTATCAAGCCACGATCCCTTTGTCTTCTTGTTTCTTCTATTTGTTTTTTAATCCTTTTCTGGCCTAACCATTTCAGTACAAAATAAAATGCAGTTGTACCACAGGTCAGAATCACAGCAGTATAAAGATGGGTTTTATCCTGAGGCCAGGATTGCTTCAACCATTCTTGGAATATAGTGGGTGCTTCTTGCAGCATTCTGGAACCAAATCTATGGACAATTTTTGGAGACTCTGAAATGCAGGGGAAAGCTAATATGAAGTCCATCTGAGACCATTACAACAAGATACACAGCATTGGCTTGTTGAAGTCCTAACATGTTATAAGAAATATCCTGTTCATATTCAATTGCAATATTTCCATCCTTGCAACATGCTAAAGTATTTCAGGAGAATGCGAAACTTATCTCCGCTTTATTGACTATTGATGCCCCTGGTCAAGAGGTGTGCCTTTACTGCATATGTATAATTTTAAGCTTAGCCTGGAGCAAACACAACCTCTGTGAATAACAATAATTAACAAGAATACCAAGAACAATATGGGTGAACTTTGGCCAGGAAAGCACAGATGTTCAAACGTAGCCCCAAAGAACTTAATAGCCTTCAGATAGCATGACAGGATAAGAAGCATCAATGTGGACAAATGTAGACAAAAGAGCTTCAAACTTTATTAGGAGAGGGAAACACTAGTAACTGAAGGGAAAGAACCAGAAATTTTGTCTAAAACTGATATATATTAATCAACTGCTTATATGGGAGGGGGGGGGTCAAAAGAGAGAGCCCAAAGATAACCTCACCTAACCCTGAGATAAAAAGATGGTCAGAGCATTTTGGTAAACAACAGTGTTTATGGACACCCTCAGACTTCTGAGATAACATTCTGTGACCACCAGGCAGACCATGTTTGGCTGCTGGTATCATCCCTTCAAAGATAAAAAAAATTGTAGACACGCCATACCAAAGAAATTGCTTACCTGGGCGTTATCAGTCACTGCTTTCTGCCTGCTGTTTTCACTGAGTTTGTGAGTTCAGCCCTTTCTTTCTCACTGATCACCTTAAAATATAAGAATAAATTGTATGGCTTGGGAGTAGTTAGAGATAAACATGCTCAGGAGTCTGAATTAGGTCAAGAGTTTTGTCACGGTATGTGATAAAAATTGCAAGATGAATTCAACTAAAATCTGAACTCCAAAATCTCACTTCAGATTTGAATTTCTAAATAAGTCATAACACTTACCCTTCACAGTATTGACTGGAATTATACATAAAATTACAAACACAACCACACCATAGAACTTCTCATTCTTTGTTAAATAATAACTAGCGTGGGATTTAACCTTTTTAAAAATTTGAATAAATAAGTTAGATAGGCAAGCATGGGTTTTTTTTGGTTTTATTACATATCTAATGGTTTATGTTTTGTGGGATATCTCTATAATATTTTTGCGCCTTCAGTTTCTATAAAGTCATAATCTTTAAAAAAAAGCAGTTATCAATAAGAGTTTGGATTACTATTATTTTAGAAAAGAAAAGTCAATAAGTTACATGCTGAAAGCTTTTGCCTCCTCATCTCTCTAGCATATTCCTGTGTGTGAAAAACTAGTATTTCTAATGCTGGGGAAAGTAAGTTCATACACATTTAGGCTTAATTATATTGAAGGTATGAGCATCTTCATCTCCATGCTAATCTTTTGCTTCTTTCTTTTTGTTCAATATCAAAAGCAATGTTCTTACATATCAGTGATTTCCATAATATGGTCAATAACCGTAAAAGTATAGGTGACCATACATCCTAATGCTGTTTAATCCCTAAATAATATTTCATAAGAGATGTACTACATTCCTCCTCTGGGGAAAACTGAATAGCAGTTAAAATAGTAAGTATAGTATAGCTACCATGTAATACAGAAGCACAGCATAATTTTTAAAAGTTTTCTTCAGTGTTCCTTTCACAAGTTCAGTTCAGAAACTCAGCAGGTTATATGAAATAATGCAGTTGTCCATGAACCACAAAGCTGAGCCATAATATTTGAAACAATGGCACAGCCTTATTTCTGGGCAACTCTTGGAATACCTTAAATCTACAAAAGATTTCCTGAGGTAATTTCTGCAGCAATATATCATTTGGTGGGAAAAGCTTCTATCCAACCAGAAAATCCATTGACTATACCAAAAAATAATTGATATCTTCAAATGTTTGGGTAGTTTGTCAATATGATCCAAATATACTATATTTCATGGTTCCATTCACCTATGTCCTTGTAAGTATTGAGAGTATGGTATTATTCTGAGTGCTCTAGTGTCAGCCCCACTAGATAGACCACGCCAGGAAATCAACTCTACAGGAATGCAAAATTTATTTTTATTGAGATTGTCTATAATAACAGAATCTTGCAAGTCTGATTGTGTTATATTTCCTTCCCTTATTACTCTAGTGAACCGGGGAGTTGTCTATTAGACTCACCTCCGAATATAAAATTATACCAAACTTAAACATTATTTCATTCTTTTTGTCTAAGCAAATGTTATTGCATATTTTCATCAAGATCATATTTCTTATTAATATGCAAACAAAAGGTGCAATTGTGCACTATTCACCCTCTCCAAAAGGTTTCTTCTCTCTTCTCCAGAAAGCCAGATTGGTGTAGTAATTAAAATATCAGGCTAGAAACTGGCAGACCATGAGTTCTAGCCTTCGTTAGGGACCGAAAGCCAACTGGGTGACCTTGAGCCAGTCACTCTCTCTCTCAGCCCTAGGAACAAGGTAATAGCAAACCACTTATGCAATCTTACCAAGAGAATTACAGGAACTTGACTCCTGATTTCTTCCTGTACCACACAGACTCAAAGGAACCAAAACAAAAATAATTTTTAAAATCCCCACTCTTCTCCAAATTGTTCCTTAAACTGTCTAAGACCACCTGAAGAATTCCCAGGACTCCTGGATAGACTTCATTTACAACACCTAAGAAACCTCTGTAATGGGGATGTAAAAGGTCTACTTTTCCAAATAATTTGTTGTATCTGAGCAAGTGTAAGCCCAGGTTGTACAGTGGTGATTCCTGCCAGATTATCTATAGAGTATCTCTATATGTATCTCTATAAAGTCTATCAAATTTCTTCTTGTTGTGGTGGACCCTCATCTTTGAATAGGGCCAAAAGCCTTAAGAAATGTAGTGAACTCTCCATGACTTAAATACATTCCAACAATGGTTTGTATACTTTGTAGATTCCATCTAAAAGATCACCCTTAAATGGGCTTTCTTGTCAACACTCTTTGAGCGTCCACAGAGGTGATTTCTGTGATGGGATGCATAGTTAACTTTCCTTGCAAGAAGTAACCTAGTGAAAGACTCTATATACAAGTCTTCTTTCTAATGGATTGTGTGGGAAAAAAATTAAGGAATTTGAGTATTAATAAATGTTTTAGCCTGGAGCCCCTGCATATAGTCAGAGTGATAAACTGTAGTAGCAAATATTTAACAAGCAAGAAGGAAGCAGTTTCCTCATTGTATTAATCTGTTAGATACAAGAGGAAATGGACTCAATTGTTAGAGCATGAGGAAGGTTTTGCAATTACATAATTCTAAAACAAATATTTGTCTTTGGGTTTTCTCTGTAATCAGTCAAATATTTATGTGAATTTACTTTCTTATTGTTCAATTAAAAATACAGCCTATTTTCTTTGTATTAGGGCGTTGCCCATGGGATGTGACTAAACATGTGCATGTGTGCTTGACCTGGATATGCAAACCCATAGTAAACTGTTTGGAGACTAAATTATTGCATTTTGCTTGAAAAGGCAAAATGGACCTCATCTTGAGAAAACTTGTAAGCTGAGATTTTTCTTCAACAATTGTAACAGGGATCATCACTGCAAGCCTGACTGCAGCAGGAAAAATCAAATCCTTCACGACTGTTATCAGAAGAGAGAAACCAAGAGAGAGTTTTAATTAGTCAACCTGTTGTTGATGCATTTGCTTCTTTACTGTATTACAATCAGAATTGCTTTTAGTTCATTTCCTCATTACAGGTAGTCCTTGCTAGACCTCACTTGCTGACCGCAATTGAGACCAGCAATTCTGTCATTAAGCAATACGGTCATAAAGTGAAAACTCACTTGACCGACAACTCATGACATCAGTTCTGGTTGCAGCCATTAAGCAAATGACCCATGGTCATTAAGCATGACATAACCTGAATGACTTTGTTTGTGGGAAGCTGGCAGTGAAGGGTGCAAATAGTGATCACATGACTATGGGATACTGCAACCATTATAAATGTGAACTAGTTGCCAAGCATCTGAATTGCTGTCACCTGAATGCAGGAAAACTGCAATGGCTACAACTTTGAGGACTGGTAATAAGTCTTCTTTTTAAGTGCCATCGTAACTTTGAACAATAGTTGAACAAGTGGTCAGTAAGCAGGGACTACTTGTATTGCCTTTAACACATTTATTTTAGAAGCAGATTCAGTTATTTCAATTTGTAATTCTGCTACTTGTCTTTATAAGAGATAACCCTTAGGTTATTTCTTAAATCTTGCAAAAAAAAAAAAAGCCCTTTTTAATCAATTGTGGCCTTCAAAATTTCTGTGATCTTTCTGGTATCATCTAGTTTGGTCTGTAAAACACTATTTAACCTCCAAACCAAGAATATAATAAAATATTTTTCACAAAATCCTACTTTTTTTTCTTTTAGGCTCAGAAAAGTTTATATAAGCGTAGTTGAAAAATCTATTCTCGTATAATTGAGATGGCAGAGACAAATTTGGCTTAAGAAACTGTAAGCAGGCAAGTCTCCTTAAAGATGCAAATTTATCCTAACTCTAAAAAACCAATCTCAATCTCTTTATACTTCAGCTGGTCTAATATTAGCCTTAATGCTAAATGACCCCATATTTGTGTACAACTGATCTAATTCAAGTTCCTATTTTAGCCTTTCTGATAGCCTTTATGTACACCTATTTAATATGCCACCTTTAATTTGTACCCACTCAAGATAGCATACATAATGCTCCTGCCTATTTTCCCAACAAGGTGAGTTGGGCTACAAGATGTTGTGCTGAGTGTAAAACCAGCTTTCAAACGAGGTAAAAGAATTGTGACTTTTCCTATGTGTTTGAAGAACAGTAAGCCAGGGATGGATCTGTCAAATACTTGACAATTTATAGCCAGAAATTATTTTTTTAAAAAAAGCTCAAACAAATGTTACTATCTTAGTTTGAGAACACAGGAGGAAGATTGCCCCCTTAGTACTGAAAACTGTTACTAAGAATTCTCATATCTGAGGACATGCAGCTTACTTAAAAGAATTCACTGAAGATTTTCCCAACCTTGGCAGCTTTAAAATGTTTGGGCTTCAACTCCCACATTGACAAACACTGGCTTAGTGTATTAAGCATGTTAAGACTAATTTGTAATGTAAAATAACCACAAACAGTTCTTAGAAGGGAACATTATCCAAAACCTCTTACAGCTAGCTACATTCTAGAAAGCAGGCCAAAGAACACAATTTTGCTGTCAATTCCAACACTAAGGGAGGCAGAGAGGGGGAGGGAAGGAAAAATAATGCTTTTAAAGTTTTCAAAAATAACTTTGTTAGATTTTCTACTAATTTTGTTCTTCTGCAAACAATACAAGTTTTCTTTGTAGTTCTAGATTTTAAACACACATTTCAGCAATGAAACATGAAGACTATCAAAAACAAAAACAATGCATTTACACTAGATCACTTCCCCATCCTCATATTCTCCAAGTATCAACTCTTCCCTTCTCTGGAGCTACTAGATACAGTTATTCTGTATCTAGACTGCTTATTTCCCTATGATCCCGAATCACTCAGCGCTTTCTAGTGAATTACCACACCTCTTGAGTTCAAAACTCATAATATCCACACTTGTCCTTTGTTCAGGTTCCTCAATGCCACTGGAAGCTTTCTACTGGACTCCAGCAGATTCCAGGAGAATTGCAGAAGGTTTCAAGATCATTTCACCTTCTAGCATTTTGTTTCTGTTCAACCCTTCATTGTGTAATCCTTCTAGTTCTACCCTTTAGGTGGATATCTGATCTTTGTCAAAAAAATAGATTCCACATAAGAGAATGTTGGCACAGTCTGCCAGTTCAAACAAGTCAAGGGCAGGGTTTCAACAACAGCTGTCTCTGTAGCAACACCCTCATCAGTTCAGACACAGAAACATCCAGTCATGTGAAGACTAGACTGGGTTTCTCAACCATGGCAACTTTAAGTTGCTGGCTTGGGATTTCTGGAAGTTGAAGCCCACCCATCTTAAAGTTGCCAGGGTTAAGAAACTGTGCTCTAATGTCTTCCTTCTTCTTGTCAATCACTGAATTGCCTATTGTGCAAGACAACCAAGCCACTCTCAGTTGCTTTATCATCATCAGGAGGGCAATAAAAATCACTGCAGACAGTAACAAGGAAGGCATTCAGCCAAGGAAACCAACACAATCCAAGAATTACATTAGAAGACATTTTGTGTCCAAGACTGAGGAAGGCAGCAGATGTCTGCTAAAGAATCAGTTGTCAAGACTACACTTTTCAGGCCAGAAAGTCTTTAAAGCACCTGTTGCATCATTTCTAAAAATGTTTCCTTTCAAGTGCACTTATTCCCTGTGCAAAGTGGTGATCACCTAGCTCTGTTTTGTTGCACATGATGTTCTCCACCATTTATACCAGAGGTCTGTCACCCATTGTAAGTTTAGGAATCTTTTTTGTGCAAAACCAGAGCAAAGTCAGTGAACAACATCTAACAATAGCTGACGGCTGCTGATAAATTTTAAAATCTTTACCTTACTCAATATACTGTAAGCATCCCATATTTAGTCTCTCAATCATTCAGATCATTTATAGAAAAAAATAAGATCATGATGCCAAGGGAGAAAAGGCATGAAAATTAGACTTTTCTTTCCTCCAGCTCTCTTTATAGGCAGAGCTGTATTATCTCTGCTTTTTTACTTCTTCTGTATAATTCACCTATTTTAGTGATCATTCATCTACTAATCTAGTCATTAAGATATTCTTTGTTGTGATTGCAGAATATAGTAAGGAATATAAGCATAGCATGACCAAAATTCTCTTTATTCAGGCATGTCAAACTGCCAGCCCACGGGCCGGATGTGTCACATCAAAACTGCGCCCACCCCATTACCGGCAATGAGGCAAAAGTGTGATACGTTGCGTGACATCACGTGACATCACAAATTTGACATGCCTGCTTTATATCTTGGCTTGGAATGTCTTGGAATTTTATCTATCTATCTATCTATCTATCTATCTATCTATCTATCTATCTATCTATCTATCTATCTATCTATCTACCTACCTACCTACCTACCTACCTACCTACCTACCTATCTATAACAACCGCTCATCTTACATCAAACTCTGGGTGGCTTCCAACCAACATTTAAAACAGTACAATTGTACAATATGGAGATATAACTATTAAAACCACAAATAATAAAACCCTGGCACCCTAATATTTTTAAAATTCACATAAATATTTATTTTATTGTGTTTGGGAGTGCACAATAATTATTATGCATTTCAGATTTCTTTTCCAGTAAGCACAACTTTTCATTCCTTTAATGTTTGGTTGTTTGTTCATCCTACAGTGCAGAACTAGTCTCCCAATTGTAATAAGCATGCAGAAAATACATTAACACTGCTAACAGAGCCTGCACTATCAATGCTAACCAATCCTACTTAGCTTCCAAGCCTAGACAAATGTGACCAGGCTTAGCACAACAAAAGCTCATTTTTCAGAAAGTAAAAAATAACCAAATTCCCTTCTAAACCTACGGAAAAGCCACCCGCATTACATATCCAATGCTGCGTTAGTACCCAACTACTGTATTTCAAACTTTGTCTTCTCAAACACTCAAAATGCTGCCCCAACTTTCAAAATGAAGTTCAGCCCTGTGGTAGACGCTCACATGATGACAGCACACGTAATACAGAGAAGAACAAAAACCACACTTTTCGGTTATCTTTTGTAAGCATAAACACTAGCAAGATTCTTCGATATATCTTTCTTATATGAGGTTACCTTTCAGTAGAAGAGTTCAGCTAAGCAGACAGAATACATTACGTTTGCTGACTAATGTAACTGTGGCTGGAGCCAAGCACGTTTAATACTTCAACCACACCCAGTTCTCTAAAAGGAGCCTATTGAACGAAGCTTGATAAGAGCATAACTATCAGATATTCTGCTATCAGTGCCTTGCTACATGTAACAACACAGATGCATGTGTAGGGGGTGGGATAATCTTTGCATTACTGTGAATAAGTGGAAGGAAAGTAAGGGAACTATGCTTTATCTGGCCTGGGCAAAAATCAAAATAATACTCAATGATGTAAGAATTAACTGGAACTTGAGCTTTAGGGTTGAAGATAGTTCATTGATTTCACAGAGTAGCAAATGCAAATTATTATTTTTACTGTTATCCAGCAAAAAACATAGTTGCCTGGAAGCTAGGAAAAGTGACCTACTAGAAAGGAAGAGTCATACCAGCCTAATGTTTCTCAACCTTGGCAACCTTTCTCAACCTTGGCAACCTTGGCAACTAAGATGTGTGGACTTTGACTCCCAGACGTTTTCAGCCAGCATGCTGAGAAACACTGCTGAGGTTGAGAAACACTCATGTAGCCAATCAGAGCTAGGGCTTCTACTAGAAAGAAATGAAATGCTGGAGACTATCTACAGAACCCTAAAGAGCTTAAGGCAACTCAAGTTGGAGAGAAGAAATTTTGAATCAATGTTGGGAAACAGATGAGACGTGCATTTGCAATGGGCTAGGAATGGGGGGAAGACTATATCATCTGTTCTGCTCTCAAGAAATAGTGAGTTGCCCATACTGACTATGGACCAAGCAGAATGCATGAATCTGTGCTAAACATCTAAGGGAAAGTCTTTCATAATGCCTAGATCAAGCACTTATTATGGGAAGTAGCTACAGGCAGCGGCCCCATTTGTTTGTATCAAAAACTGTCAAGAACATTCATAATCATGTCCTTTTATTCTCCCCTGCCCTCCTCTGATTGTACAAAGTAGGGAAGTATAATCATCCACTTACTTTTTTTATGCTCCTTTTGTTCTTCTTTTCCCCGTTCACTTTAGTGTGCCGAGACCAGCTCTTCTCTTATGCGCATTAAGAAATCATCCATGATCTTTAATGACCACTATCGGGTTGGGAATGTGGTATTACTTCATAATGTCAGAAAAATACTGGAGGTTGAGAAAAGTAATTCTAGACACTGGCTTTCTCAATGTTAAGGCATTGCTGGTGAAAGAATGCTGAAATGAAAACGAATCAGCATCCTGCACAAAAGCTATTTGCTTCTTTTTTCAAAACAACTGTGTTTAACTTTGATCTTTCTCTCAAGCGGCAGGGAGAGTATTTAAGAGAAAGACATATGGGGAGGGACTTCACACTATTAGCCTTTTCAGTCTCAAAACTCTCAGAATCAGTTTGGCAGTGATCCTTTTCTGCAACGTATTGTTGAAAAACAGAAAAATTACTGGTCAGTAACAAACAAAGACACTCAGTTCTCCAACATAGCTGACTGTCAACGCTGCAAATACTGTATATTCTTGCTTTGACAATATGCAGAACTGTCTGGTATTTATATAGTTAAATCAGGCAACAGTGAAAGCCGGGAAAAAGAAACAGGAAGTAAATCATGTCGTCCAAGTTAATTGGAAGATGTGAACCATGACCCCAAAATAAGGGAGGGAAAAATGCTTAATATGTATGTGTAACTACGGCGTCTCTGTAACCTTAATAATTGCTTTTAGGAAAAAATATGCCTGAAAGTCCTTTTAATGTTTCGTTAATCAGACACATGACAAAAGCTATTTGCTTCTTTTTTCAAAACAACTGTGTTTAACTTTGATCTTTCTCTCAAGCGGCAGGGAGATTATTTAAGAGAAAGACATATGGGGAGGGACTTCACACTATTAGCTTTTTCAGTCTCAAAACTCTCAGAATCAGTTTGGCAGTGATCCTGTTCTGCAACGTATTGTTGAAAAACAGAAAAATTACTGGTCAGTAACTGGTAGTCACATCTCCTGCAGCAACAAGGGGGTTTTCATCCTCACTCCATTCAAGTCAAAGAAAGAAAAGGAAAAGGAAAAAGAAGGACAAACACGTGGTTTGCACATAGCTAGTCCCTTACAGAAGTAGGAAATTGATGAAATCTTGTCAATTGGCTACTGAGGAGGATCTGCCAAGCCACAAAACCATCACTCCCTTTAGAAGAACAGAAACTCAGAACCCAAGAGGAAGCAGGAGTTCTGCAGATTTCCAGCCTATAAATGAACAAACAAACAAAGACACTCGGTTCTCCAACATAGCTGACATTATCGTCTCAGAGACATGCAGAGCTGCTTTCTTACTAACTAAGAATCCTTGAGAGAAAGTGTGCTCAATTGAGACACTGATAATGCATGCCATCTAATTCTCAAGAGTTTCATGTATATCATTGCCCAGGTCTTTGGAGAGGACAACTAATGCTGCTTTCCTCCTTTCTGTTTCCATTGGGGTTTGTTTTCTTTGCCATCTTTGTTTTTTTTGTCTTTGCTGTTTGTGTTTTTTGTCTTTTGTGCTGTTTTTTTTTCTATTGGTTTTTTTTTTATTTTAAAATGTTTTAACAATTGGGAGTCAAGCAGCATATAAATTTAATAAATTAGTACTTATTATTATCATATGCTTTATCTAAGTTAACAAAATGTACAATAAACTTCCTCATGTTCATACAGTATATTTTTCAGTGACTTGCTGAAGAGCAAAAATCTGGTCTGCATAGTCCATGACATCAGAAAGTCAAACTGCACTTCTCAGAATTTGTTTACTGTCACTTCTGATCCTCTTTCAATCACAGTTCTGTCAAGCATCTGTCCAGGCACACTTAAACTAACCCCCTATAATTTTGGCTTCAGTCTTGCTGTCTATATTAGAGAACAATAATGGCACTCTTCTAATTGTCAGCCACATACACACATTAACCATCTTGTGGCATATACATTTATTAAATAAGCTAAACAAGATGAACAGTCATAAAGGATTAGAGTCAGCAAACTACATCTATATTTAAGCATATATGGAATTACAGTCTACACTTGCAGCCTTACCTTAAAAAAGACATTTTCACAGCATTTATGATTTGCTTTTCACTATATTTTTTCTTGAATACTAATATTGATACTATGTTTCAATTGCATTCTATGACACACCACTATTTCCCAAATGCTCCTTCCAGCATTTTTAATTCCATTTATTTTTCTGTAGACTTCTTCTGTAGCCCACTTCACCCATTTCCAAAATAATATTTTAATTCCATCTCAGCCTGAGAATCAATCTGCATTTTTCTGTGTACTTCTTTTAATTGTGACCACTCCTTATTCTCTTTGACTTATATTCTTTACAATGGTATTTTCTCTTTATGTACATGAATCTATCTTTCATCCTCATTTTAATATCATTATTAGATTAATTTTATTGATTCTTTTAGAGGCTTTTTTGATTCATTACTTCACCAAATATCCTTTTACAAATTTCCTTTAGCATAATTCCACAAATTTATGTGACATTCTGTATTATAATTCTTTTCACACTGATTCAGGCAACTTCCATATGATCTTTCCTTCTGTGTACTTTCCATTCATTCTTTTAGGAGATTAATCTATCTTTCATACAGAACTAGCACTTTCATTCCAGTTTTGCAAATATTTTTTTGGATTCAAAGGAACTGGGTGGCATCAGTTACCACAGTGATATCCTAGAATCATCGGACTGATTTGAAATTGTTGCAGGTTCAGCTGTTCAAGTTTACAGAAAAGACTTTTTATTGCACAATCAGCTTATCTCATTCACAGAATTTTACAGTGCAGAATTTGCTGACACTATCATTTCCCATTTATAACTTTCTCAAAAGTCCCATTAGTTGATGAAGGAAGGAATGACAGAATATTTGTATCACACCTTTGAAGTGATAGCATAATTCAAAGGTGTCTGTCTGAAAGAACCTGTTGTCCAGATGCTGTTATTTATCCTAATTACAAAACATTACCAAAAATTCTCTACTTTCTAAACCATATCTTCTTATCTCTCCATATCTTGTCTTGCTGAACATTGGTGAAAATATAACTGAGCTAACTCAGCAATAAACCGCATAAGTCAATAATAAAGTTTATTTAGAAAGGTCAACATTCCTTGCAGGCTTCTTTCCGATCAGGGTCATATTTTTCTCTTTCCCCATCTCTCATGGGAAACTCTCTCTACTTCTTTCATGAAGCGAAGACACAATTCTTCTTGCCATGGCAAGGCCACACACTGGACTGCTACAGGGAGCCCCACTGCATCTTCCACAGCCTATAGGAGAAACGCAAACAGTAAGACAATGTATTCATTACTTGGCGTATTCATCAGGCTTTTCAACTTCTCAAATCAGTTCTTGAACTCAATGTGACTTGAAGCTTAGCAGAAAGTAAGCAGATCTGCCTTCTTCAGTCCAGCATCCACCTATAACCATTGGCATGCTTACAAAGGCTGTACTATTAGAGATTTTGTGGCATACAACATAGGGCTGCCCAATGCTAAAATAATTCTTTAATCTGGATGTTGCAGCAAGATCAAGACTATACATAGCCAGCTAGATAGCAGCCTCTAGTCACTCTTGGCTGACCATAAAAAAAAGTAGAATTAGTATTTATAGTATCTACCACCAGAAAATCTTAGAAAGTAACAACCAGAACAACAGCAGCAAACTAGGCAAAGGAAGTGGCTGACTGATTATTGCTGCCAAGAATGGATGAACGGATGGATAGATGCATCTTAATTGCAATCATCAACCAGAAAAATAGAAGAAAAAATGTGAACACAGAAACAATTATTCTTTTAAATAAAGTTTAGTAACCTTTACATCATTATATCATTTGAATCTGATAACAAAGTTGTACAGACCTGACTTAGGGGTATACCATAAAGGCATAACTTCTTCTCCAATGAACATTTTCCATAGCAAAAAGTGCTCAAATGCAAATGCAGTCTGACCATATTACTGCCAACAATATTGTCATTTTCAATGAAGTCACCAGAATTCCCAACCTATTCAAAGCTATATCTTTGGCAGATTCCCCTCTTACAGGATTGTGCCAAACTATAGCTCAAATTCCCTTAAAAGAGATCAACGTCTTTTAAAACTCAGTAGGACCTATTTCAATTAAATAGATTCATTCTCAAATTAGAAAAAATATTCTTAAAGTACAGTTTTCTTTATTAATAACAGGGATCCAACTCAACCTCAACACAGCCAATGAATGAGGAGCGTCTCTGACAATTTGCCATGGCCAACTTACCAAGGCCAACTCACAACGGCCAACTTGCCATGGTCAACTTGCTGTGTGATAACTCATCACGGCCAGCGAGTTGTCGCCACGGGACAACTCGCTGCGGGAGAAGAGTTACACTAACATCAAAGAAAGGATGGAATAGAATCATTAAAGAAAGGGAGACAAAATGAGATGTGAATGACAAAAATTAAAATATGTTTTTATTTATTTTAAATAAATTAAATTGAATTGTTAAATTGTCCTGTGGCGAGTTCTCCTGAGGCACGTTGGCCATGGCGAGTTGGCTGCAGCAAGTTGTCCCATTCCGGAATGAAGCAACTTTGAATATTCCCCAAGAGACCGTTCTCCAAATTTCTTCAAAGTAAACGAGTCACCAAATTTCACTGAGTTCAGACAAGCAGCGAGGAAGGATCCATTCTGCTAAAGTTTTATAATATCTTGATTCCCATACATGGCAATTGCATTTCTTGCTGTTAACTGACCTCCTTCATTCTTTTATCCCAGAAGTCTCCATAGTGCCCTTTGTAATGCTTCAGCTCTTCTTCATCTGTTTGTGTAACTGTTGTGACTGGTACAACTCCAGCAGGAAAATTCAAGACATTGTATAGATGGGTATAAGTAGTAGCCACTGGAAAAGATACCATCTACAAGTTATTTATTTCTCAACAGGATCAGGCCATTGTTTTGTGACTGTAACATATTAATAGCATAACAGCACAATGCATTCTCCAGCCCACAGATGCTGCCCAATTCCATCCTCCACAAGCAAGGAGGCCAAATGAGGTGGATGCCACCAGCACCATCACAATCTGCTGGGAGTGATGCAGTTGCCCAGGGGGTGGGAGGCTGTGGCTTTTATGAGAAAATCAGCTAATAAAATATGTTGCATATGTGCTCAAGAGTTGCCCGCATCCCTCGTACCTTGTCCTGAAAGAGGGAGGATGGAAATGTAACCTTTTCAGAACAATTTTCCTTCTTATCACAGTTGAGGTCCACAACTGCTATATAACTACATGAATATAGTAACAAGCGAGCTGTGCTTCAGGGTAATAGCTTTCTGGTGAGGAAATTGGAACAATTTTCAAGTGTGGGAAAAGGTCTAGTGCTTGCAGAAAAATAGCATCATCTTCTCTTCGGGAATTTTTTTTTTTTTAAAATAAAAATAAAAATTGAGGAATAAGGAAATGAGCCTGAAATGTCAGGGCTGCCAGATGCTTGTCTTGCATTATTTTATCATTAGATAAAATAATCTGAAATGACTCTAAGAACAGTTGCAAAATTGTTCAGGGTGGATACTTAGGATTGTGCCATTTGGCAGCCATAAGCTGCTTGGGCCTCAAGGTAAATCTGGTGGAAAACAACTAGCTTAGCCTCCTCTCTGAAGCACAGTCCATCCCTTCACCTTGGCAACGACCTGTTTGGACTTGTTAGCACAGCTCCTGACTGATGAGTTCTCTATCGATGCCAGGACACCAAGTGCTTTCCTTTCTAAGGGTAGATCTCTGTGACACATACGTTCTATTTACAGATTTTTTTGTTGCTTCTGTCTTCAGTGTGAGACCTTCAGCCTTCCCTATCCTAGTTCATCCAATGTTTGATGTTCTTTGTTCATGCATCTAGCATTTCATTGATCTGCTGGTGATCCAATTTCAAAAAGAAAGGACTTGCAGTTCACCAGTGAACCCTAACAGAACTCCAAAGAGTATACTCAACCCATATCACTGCAGTTATTTAATTGTGCAGTGTCAGGTCCCCACCCATGAATGTTGAACCTGTTTTGCAAATTACTGGTGTTTTTACGTGTGTATAGGAAGTCAGTGCAAGGCCTGGGATGTGCCTTGTAGATCTAAACACACTTAGGGATTATGTGGAAAGGGATTTCAAAAGTGGGCAGGCAACACAGCAGTTCAGACCTAAGAAGAGGCAACTAGTAACTCAATAGTAGTAACTGTGAGAGGGACCTTGGAGTCCTAGTGGACAATCACCTAAATATGAGCCAGCAGTGTGCTGCAGCTGCCAAAAAGGCCAACACAGTGCTAGGCTGCATTAACAGAGGGATAGAATCAAGATCACGTGAAGTGTTAATACCACTTTACAATGCCTTGGTAAGGCCACACTTGGAATACTGCATCCNGGAGAAACTTCCTGACAGTGAGAACAATTAACCAGTGGAACAACCTGCCTCCAGAAGCGGTGAATGCTCCAACACTGGAAGTTTTTAAGAAGAGACTGGACAGCCATTTGTCCGAAATGGTATAGGGTTTCCTGCCTGAGCAGGGGGTTGGACTAGATGACCTCCAAGGTCCCTTCCAACTTTACTACTACTACTACTATTATTATTATTATTATTATTAAAGTGGGAAAATGTTCTCACCCCCATAGTGCACACTAGTAATTTGAGTGAGTGTCTTGCCAAAATGTAATAAAGCACAACAGATGGACCTCCTGACACCCCTTGTTCTGGTAGAAGGTAAAAAACAGCCCTTCTTATGCAAACCAAGAAAAAATGGGTGGGGATTGTCTTCAAAACAGGCTGGGGACAAGGTTCCTACCCTTGAGAAATAGGAAATGGACTATCTGCTCACAGGAGCAAGCAGGATATGAGGGTGAGTCTCAGAATGAGTTTACTGAACTGATGTACTTACCAATAGACACCCCTATCAACCAAGATCATATCTAACAAAGTAACATAGAGTATGTATGTACATATGTATGTATTTTCTGATTTGCCTGATAATCTGAAGAACTAAATTGATCAGTTCTGAATTGATTGTTATGTTTTATTATTAATCTATTATTTTATTGCATTACTGACATTATTATCTAGAAAGCAGCTCTATTTCCTTTACAATGTTACCTGCCAGAATCTGTTGCCTCACTTTTATTTTACTCTAATAGGAAGCTACATTTTGACTGTATCTTTTGATCATCCAACCAATACCCTCACCTGTAATAGGTTTCTTAATTCATTCTACATGCTTTCCCTGCAAAGAAGTTTTGAGGGCACAGATTGAAATTGGACTTAATGAGCACCTAGTTCACCATATTAGAGTGTTATATAATTTGATAGCTATAGTCTTCCTCATACTGACCTTTTATGATCCCCTCTTTCTATCTAATGCATCTATCCTTTCTTATAGTTTGTTTGTTTGCATGTATGTGTGTTTGTGTGTGTGTGTATACATACACCCATACACACACATTGTTTTAATATCTTCTATTTTTCATTTTTTAAAGACTGTGATGTATCTTCTATGCTTTTTAATTGACTGTACTCCACCTTCCTTATGCTTGTATATGACTATAATAAAGATTTGATTTGACTGATTAGTGATTAGTGGCATATGCGGCCTCATCTGACAGTGCCCTCCTCCCAATCAACTCAGGAGCTGAAGTGATCAAAAGAATGATAACAGAGCTACAAAAAGAAGGAGCAGTGCGCACAGTCCACCTAGCAGGACTATTTTTTCACACTTCTGGAATCTAACCCTTCTTAGAACGGGCATAAGAACAAAGGTACACAGAGAAAGTTACAGTGGGGTTATGATTTGATACCAAATAGTTTGCCAGCATATCCTAGATTAAAGGCTGGGCCCAAAGCAGGACAAAGCACAACATCCAGCTTCAACTTTTTCCATTCTGCAATGAATTCATCACGGTAAGCCTGGAAAAAAAGAAAACACAATGGGTGGAGTATAAGGGCATAATGCTACTTGATCAACGTGTTCAATTTCTTCCTTTATCCCATATAGGCCCCTATAGCTTCCAGGCACTAGATCAAGACTTCCATGGAAATTCCAGAAAAATGCAGAGTGGGGATGTACCATTGGATATAATCACCATACGGTGGATACCATACCCTACTCTGAGGGATGATTTTTCCCAGTAGCTTCATGTAAATATTAAACAATAGGGGCAGCTATCATGACTAGTGCACAAATAAGTAGTTGCTGGGTCAATCTCTTTTCCCTTTCTACAATTGACTGGAACTGTCCACTCAGGAAAAAGAACCACTGCAAGATAATCCTTCTAATTCCAAACTTCACAGGCAGTTCAGAAGGGTTACCATGGTTGATGATCTTGAAATCTGTTGAGATGTTGATTGTCCCTAGGATTACAGTCTCACCAGTCATTTCAATGGCCATCTACTAGCACAACCAAGGCAGTTTCCTCCCATGTCCAACAACTAATGGAAAGGAAAACAGATAACCCATTGGCTAGGACATTCTGTAGGTGATTTCCAACAACTTTTCCCGCAAGGGGAGATTGGAGACAGGGCAATAACTGTTAAAGATGCCTGAATCCAAGGAATGTATCTTAAGGACAGGAACAAACCAGACCTTCTTTCAAGACTGCAGACAATGTTCTCTCCCATAAAGATAGAGAAGCATTGGCTTCCTGGTAGGATTCTTGCAAGTTAGAGTAGAATGTTAAAAAAAAACACTGAAGTTTTTAGCTCTCAAAACTAAGGATAAAAAATTGATACGTGCTGAAGAAAGCTTCAGGCTTAAGCAAGTGCCACAAGCAGCAATTAGAGACTCCAAGTACAGAGAAACTGAAAGGTCCTTGGGACTTTATCTCTTTAATTTCTTTTCCCAACTTTTATCTATCTCTGATTTATCCAACTAATACCTTTCATCAGTTCACTTGTGGTAAAATATGTGTTCTTCCCATGAAATCAGGCCTTACATTCTAACATCTCAAAAAATTAAATTAGAATAATGTAGTCTCTCGTGACTGTTTGCAGGATCATTTCAAGATTTCAAATGTGAATGCTGATTTAATCAGCAAAATGGCCCTAATTCCAAAAGGCACAAAGGTCATATAATAAATATTACGGTTTTCTAATCTGAGATAATACTATTAGCAAATTCTGTGAATGTTTAACTTGCATCATTTATCCAATTGCATGTTATCTGACACTCCCAGTATGAGAGGGTATTTCTAAATGCATTTTTAAATGAGCTAGAGGTCATACAAAGCCTTGTTCTTAACAAATAAATCTCAGAAGCTCAACTAACCTAAACTTTGTGCAGTTTAATTTTGCAGTAATGTGCCTACTCAAGAAGTCTCCCCCAATCTTCTACTCCTTTCAGAAGTGCATAGCATCTCTATTGTCAAGGGTTATGGGAATTGTAGTCCCACCCATCTAAAGTGGCCAGATTCAAGAAGACAGTCAATGTTCCTTAACACTGGAAAAACAGAAAGTTAGGATGGAAGACAAGTGCTGATAGATTATTGTATTAAGGGTAGGTTATGAGTTAATAAATAACAAAAGTGGTAATTACATGAATGGTCTGGGCAAACAGATGTTGAAATGTAATAATACAATAGTAAGCGGCATGTTTACTTCTGCTTAGTTGGCAACTTGGTATATGCTTAGGAAAAAGTACAGTGAGGAAAGCATGGGACTTTACTGCAAGAAAGTCAGTTATGACTCTGCATGTGCTGGAATGCGCAGCTAAATAAAGAGTCAGGGAAATGTTGGCAGTAGCACTGCAGCTTCTCAGGGAGGAGGCAGCGCATTCCAGAGAGGGGCTCAAGACAAGAGACTGTGCTGTCCTAAACTAGATATGGGAGGAAGGAAAAGGTTTGGTGTAGCCACACCCTACAGGGTATATTTGTTAGGTTAGAAAGTTATAGCTTTACTCTGGCAAGATTCTGTGTATTGGGTATAAGCAAATATACCTAATACCAAAAGGATTTGATTAGATCTCACTGTGTCTTCTTTGGGTTTGGGTCTGACACTATGAGATAAATTATCCAGGGAAGATGCCTGTATTACAAGAAGGGATAGTCAGTTGGTTGAGTTAGGATCTGGGATTATTGATATGACAGTAACGTATAAATTAAGTTGAATTGGAATGATCCATAATGAAGAAGTATGAAATAGCTTTCCACCTGCAAAACAGTATACTATTAATTAAGTTTTTCTCAGAGTTATCCTAGGATCTTGTCCTTAGAGTTGAGCTAAATCTGATCAGGGAAAGAGAACTCTTAACAGTCACAGGAATGTATCCTGATATCTTTGAGTATTCAAATACAAGTTTTACCCAATAATAATAATAATAATAATAATAATAATAATAATAATAATAATAATAACAACAACAACAACAACAACAACAACAACAATAATAATAATGTTGGAAGGGACCTTGGAGGTCATCTAATCCAACCCCCTGCTCAGCAGGAAATCCTATACCATTTCAGACAAATGGCTGTCCAGTCTCTTCTTAAAAACTTGCAGTGTTGGAGCATTCACTGCTTCTGGAGGCAGGTTGTTCCACTGGTTAATTGTTCTAACTGTCAGGAAGTTTCTCCTTAGTTCTAGGTTGCTTCTCTCCTTAATTAGTTTCCATCTGTTGCTTCTTGTCCTGCCTTCAGGTGCTTTGGAGAATAGCTTGACTCCCTCTTCTTTGTCGCAGCCCCTGAGATATTGGAACACTGCTATCATGTGCCCCCTCGTCCTTCTCTTCGTTAAACTAGACATACCCAATTCCAGCGTTCCTATCTGAGGAATAATCAGAGAGCTTACTGATAAAATGGTAATGTATTTTTATGAAGTCCCCCCCTCCAAATTTGGCAATTTTCCTGTTACAGATACCTGATGTACATCGTATTGATAAAAAAGTAGAAGGCTTGGTTAAGTCCTAAGCTTCAACTGTTGGCATGAAACTTTTCCTACCATATACTACCATTGATATCCCACAGGACACATGTGGCTACTGCCAATTAAATTGGATCCTGGAATTCCTAGTGCATAAGAACAAGTGCAGGACTTTGTGCCTGTATCTTCTCATTTTTTTGTATATTAGGAATAAAATCCATCTATTCACTAATTCCATTTTCTTTAGCCATGAAGCTGTTGCTTTGCAAACAAACTCATGAATGATTGGAAAAGAAGTTGAGAAACGTCATATGGTGTTTCTCCATTTCACCATCCAATCCAATTAGGTCATCATTTCTACCACTTTTTTAAAACTATCTGGAAATAGCAATAGTCTCAATGGCATACTGATGTGCCATACAAAAACCATTAAGGTATTTACTTCAACTATAACTCTAGAATCCATAATATACAGAGGTAACCCTATAGGAAGATTGTGTAATATAAGGGGCTTCGCTAATTATTCTTTTCAATTCTTTCTGTTCAGTATTGAAAACCCAGGACTGCATTTGTTTAAAAAAAACAGCACTTTTGTTTGTTCTGGTTGGGAAATAACTGAGAGAATTAGAATCTTAGGCCAATTGAATAAACAAGCTGACTCACCATCCGATCCACATTGTTCTTCCAGAGTTCTTTGACTGACCTAGAATTTGAAGAAATCATGAGAATCAACATTAGCATACTAACAAAAAAAGATCAACAAAATAGTTATGCATAGAATGACAAAACTGTAGAGTTGGATGGGACCATAAAGATAATCTCATCCAACTCTATGCAATAGAAAAAGACAACCAAATTATCCTGTCCAGCCTATTCATAAAAACACACACTGCTATTCTTCTTCTATTTCTTATATTTAGGAAGCCTTTTCTTATATTGAAATGAAACCTAGATAGCTGCAACTTATACCTATCATTTCTGGTCCCAGTCTCCTTGGCAGTGATGATTTTCTCAACAATATCTTTTTGTGTACCTGAGCAGTGAGATCATATCTCCCTCAGTCTTCTCTTCTTCAAATTAAGTTTCTCCATTGTTCTTTATGTAGAGGATTATGTCTTAAAGTCCCTGCATTTTTGTCACTCGCCTCTGAACCTATGCACCAACTATTCAACATCTTGTTGCTCTGTGCTTAAGGAGGCAATCTATATTCTCACTGGCAGAGATTTTAATGGTTTGCCCCATCCCCTAAATCATACCAATAACAGCTTGCTGCTATAAAATTAAAATACAAAATTGACAGACCTATAGGGTACTAGCATTTTCCTGGTCTTACAATCACAAGTGGGACTGGAAATTCTGTGTGATTGTTAAGTGAGTGATGCTTGATTTTATGACCTTTTTCCCCCCCACAATGGCTATTAAACAAATCATGCAGTTGTTAAGCAAATTCAGCTTTCCTCATTGACTTCGCTTGTCAGAGCCCCCCTGGGATGGTTATAAGTGACGGGGTGTGTGTGCTGGAATCATTGTAAATACCTGCCAGTTAACAAGTGGCCAAATGTTGATCGTGTGATCACAAAGACACTGCAACAGTTGTAAGTGTGAGGACCAGTTTTAAATTACTTTTTTCAGTAGTGTTGTAACTTTGAACAGTAGTTAAATTATCATAAGTCGAGGACTGCCTACAGATTGTTCTGAACAGCTATGAGAAGAAGGAGCAGGATACTCTATTGCTGGCTAAAAAAGAACACTAACCGAGTGACAGTTAGTTCTGTTATGTGCAGAATGTAAATATGTCCATTTCAGCAGTGTCTTGAAGTCTAAATAAATCTGAAGAAAATCAGGACAGCACAAGACCATTTTAACTGATTTTGGAATTGCTAGGAAGGATTGATTGTCTGAAGGTTGCAGTCCCAACCCATTTAAAAGGCATCAGGAGGCAGGAAGTTATTATAAAACCTCAAGTAATAATAGAAGGTATTTATTCATGATGCAGTCAGGATTTAACTGCATTCCACATCTTTGTTTGCTTCTCCATAATAAATATACAAATGACATTGAAATTCCTTCAGGCCACTGAAACAAGTACCTGAACCTCTAGTCTTTAGAAACCCTGAAATGTCCCTCTTTCCACAGCATGTCAGTTACCATCTGTAAATCCAAACATCGTGATTGTTCCAAATCATTTAAATTAAAATATTTTCCTATGTCCAACTTCTGTGAAATGCAGTACGGTGGCCGATGTACTGCTGTCCTCTGCTGGAGAGAATGTAGCATGACTACTTTTCAAAGTTTAAATAGTTGTATATAAAATAAACAAAAGACAACTTCTTAGAGCAGTGGTTCTCAACCTTTTTAATGCCGTGACCCCAACCGGTCATAAGTCGAGGACTAAACCGGTCGTAAGTCGAGGACTAAACCAGTTGTAAGTCGAGGACTAAACCGGTCGTAAGTCGAGGACTACCCAACCGGTCGTAAGTTGAGGACTTTCCCTGCCCGGGAGCGCCGCGCATGCGTGGTTCCTCCCCCTGCGCCGGCCGAGGCGTAGCTGGCAAGCGGCAGAGACGGAGCAGGCCGACCACCAGCTGGCCCAGCCCAAGGGAGGTAAGGCACCCGCCGGAAATGGGGGAAAAATGGCGGACAAAAAAAATGGCGGACAGCCTTGCTTGGCGACCCCCATGAAATGGTCGATCGACCCCAAATGGGGTCCCGACCCACAGGTTGAGAACCACTGTCTTAGAGCAAAGCATACTGTCCCATTATGCTGTTCCTGCCCTACGCATGTCCCAGCTATAAACCAGTTTAAGCAAATCTTAACTGAACTGATGCTTTGGCAGCAGTTTGGAAAATATTGAGTACATACAAACTGTTGCTTGTATATACACTGAGAGCTTATACACCGGAGACAAATTCCTTGTGTGTCCAATCATACTTGGCCAAAGTATTCTATTCTATTCTATTCTATTCTATTCTATTCTATTCTATTCTATTCTATTCTATTCTACTCTATTCTATTCTATTCCAGATCTAAAGTAACCACTTGTGGCCACTGGGGAATTCTCCCACTACCATTCTTTCTCAAGTTTTCATTTCCGGAAGGCAATACTTTCTTTTCTCCGGGAGGGCCTTAGTGGACATACATATTCACACATACACATGCATATAAAAAATACAGTTATATGAAATATAATATAGCTAAATGAAAAGGTATAAACTATGCACATATGCAAGGACAACAACCAGCTTTAAAGACAAAAATTTCCTTTCTTATATTACTTCTACTTTTCCTGAATAACTTCTACTACAAATACTGTTATAAAAGGACTTTCCTATTAGCATAACAGTACACTACTGCAAAGGTTGGTATTGCATCCTGGAGAAACCTAAGTGTGTGGTTGTTAAGAGGTGATACTGATTGATGGCACACGGTAAATCCAAAGGCCGATATTGCAGGAACAACACCCATTCAAGGAAGGAAACGCCATAATATTCTCTTACCCCACACCAAGGAGGGCATGCAGATGTCGGGAGATTCGTGGGAACTAAAATAAAAACACTGCATTAGGAAACCACATATAGCAAGAGGTTATATTACACAGTATTACACAAACCTACTGGCCTTTGAAATTTGCTAACTGTTTAGCAATTCTTTGGCTCCTTCTCCTTATTCTGTATCTTCCTGATCTATTTTCTGGTTGCTGGCTTGGAGAGAAGATACCAAACTACCTTTCCCCCAAAAGGCCAAAAGCTATTGGCATTAGATCAGTGTTTCTCAGCTTTGGCAATTTGAAGATATATGGACTTCAATTCCCAGAATTCTCTAGCCAACAAGCTGGCTAGAGAATTCTGGAAGCTGAAGTCCACACATCTTCAAGTTGCCAAGGATGAGAAACACTGCCTTAAATCTTCCATCCATGAACGTATTCCATTATTCCCATGGAACCCATTAGCACTCCTTCTAATTGTCTAGAAGGTGGAAGCAAAATAAGGTTACAAGCAGATTGTCTGTTCCTGCTCTGACTCACTGCCATGTTCATATTTCATGTGAAGAAAAAAGAGGGACAGCTAATGATATGGAGGGACACTGGCAAGACACCACATCACTTAGCCCAAAGGAAGAGCTAGGGGGGAAACTGCAGGGAATTAGCATGCAAGATAAGAGAGAAGTTTCTGCCAATGGATGGCCATCAGTTAATAATAATAATAATAATAATAATAATAATAATAATAATAATAATAATAATAATAATAATAATAATAATAATAATAATAATAATAATAAAGTTGGAAGGGACCTTGGAGGTCATCGAGTCCAACCCCCTGCTCAGGCAGGAAACCCTACACCATTTTGGAAAGATGGCTGTCCAATCTCTTCTTTAAAACTTCCAGTGTTGGAGCATTCACCGCTTCTGGAGGCAGGTTGTTCCATTGGTTAATTGTTCTAACTGTCAGGAAGTTTCTCCTTAGTTCTAGGTTGCTTCTCTCCTTGATTAGTTTCCATCCATTGCTTCTTGTCCTGCCCTCAGGCACTTTGGAGAATAGCTTGACTCTCTCTTCTTTGTGGCAGCCCCTGAGATATTGGAACACTGCTATCATGTCCCCCCTCATTCATCTCTTCGTTAAACTAGACATACCCAATTCCAGCAACCATTCCTCATATGTTTTAGCCATTGGTTGGCAAAACACTCCACCATGTTGTAGAAATTACCATCTGATTTGCCAATATCTTGTGAAAGTAGGCAGTCGCTTAAAACAGCTGGGCTTAACCCAAGCAAAAAGTGATATACTTTCAAGAAGAAGAGGTACAGGTAATTCTCAACCTATGACCACAATTTGGAACCAGAATTTCTGTTGCTAAGCAAGCTTGTTGTTAAATGAGTTGTGCCTGACTTTATGACCTTTTTTGCCACAGTTGTTAAGTGAATCACTGCAGTTAAATGAACCACTGCAATCATTAAGTGAATCTTGCTTTCCCCATTGACTTTGTAGGAATCTGGCTGGAAAGGTAGCAAAGGGTGATAGCAATAGCAATAGCGCTTAGACTTATATACCACTTTACATAGTGCTTTACAACCCTCTTGAAGTAGTTTACAGAGTCAGCATATTATCCCCCCCCCCCAACAATCTGGGTACTCATTTTACCGACCTTGGAAGAATGGAAGGCTGAGTCAACCTTGAGCCACTGAGAATCAAACTGCCAATCTGCAGGCAGCCAGCAGTCAGCAGCAGTAGCCTGCAGTACTGCATTCTAACCACTGCGCCACCAAGGCGATCACATGACTCCGGGATGCTGCAGCTGTCATGAATACATGCCAGTTGCCAAATGCCTGAATTGTGATAGTGTGATGGTAGGAATGCTGCGGCAGCATAGGTGCGAGGACCAGTTGTAAGTCACTTTTTTCAAGGCTGTTGTAACTTGGAATGGTCGCTAAACAAATGGTTTTGAGGACTGCCTGTACATTCCCCCAGTAAAATCGGTGGGTTTTAAAAAAGCATTAATTATAGTGTGTGCTATAAAAAGTATTAATTATAGTGCGTGCCTGTCTTTTTCACCGATAGGTGAAGAGTTTTCTTATAGGGAAATGTCAGGCTGGAAGTAATTTTTTCTATAACTGAGGGATTGAATAGAAGATGAGTTAGAAGTGCAGGTTTGTTTTTTTTTTTGCAGAAAATGATTTAAGATTTGTAGGCATCCTATTTTCTCTGAGCTTCACTTTGCTTTCGACCCCATCGTTTCATAGGGAATTGACTCATCAAAAAGCAACATATGAAAACCTGAGAGTGGCTGTATCAGGATCATTATTCATTATTCTTAGATTACGATTTTCACCTTGGTTATTCCACTTTATAAAGAAGAGAGCTAGATCTTGATTTCTGTTAACAAGATTGACTGAGACGACCGAGCTCAAAATGGAAGTCATTTTGAGACAGTCTATGAAGGAGACAATCTAATATACAATTGCAATTCAGCTTTGACTTCAAAAAGAAAAGAAACATGATTTTCTCTAAAAAATCCAGCATCATTTCCCTGATTTAAATACAACAATAGCAAATCAATGGAAATGAGGAGAAAAATGCTTGTAAAAGCATTACAAGCAAAAGAAGCAATCACATTTTCAGTTGCATATCAAGGGCTCTATTTCCAAGGACTTGAGCAGCCTTGCAGAATTATTCCTGGCAACAAAAAAAACATCTAAACCTTAGCTAGTTTTGAAACAATGACCAAAATATTAAAACAGTGCCTTTTTTCGCATAAGGTCATCAAGAGCATCATTTAGCATTCTCATTTTCCCAAACTTTTCCTACAGAAGAATCAATTTATTTTACTCATGAATAAGCACCACGATGTGTTGGCATTACAATTCCTATCAACATGAGGTCTAATCCCAACCCAACAAGAAGTTGGAAAAGGCTGGCATATATAATAGGTTTCATCTATAGTCCTTTGGCTTGTCAGATATATCCAGTGGTGGGATTCAAATATGTGAACAACCGGTTCTCTGTGTGGATGCCACTTTTAGAAGTCCATTCTGGGCCTGGGCAACAAAAAATTAGCTACCAGTTCTGCCAAAGTGGTGCGAACCGGCTGAATCCCACCACTGGATATATCACTCCTTCTGCATTTGTCAATCTTTTTGATTGAAATTCAGGAATGATCTCATTCTAGCAGAGAAGATACCAATTAATAAACCATTGGCTGCTTTATGGGCTTATCACATTTAGCCTAATTGAGAGAACCTAAGCTTTACTTTCCCCCAATCTTAATAGAAGTCTCTGGGAGTTGAAATCAAATGCATCCAAAGGACATCAATTTGGGAAAAGCCATTTCAGTTTGCATTCACTTCAGGCTACTATTTCCTGTTTGCATCTATCTAATAGTCTTTGACATTTCTCTTGATCTTACAGGCTAAGCATCACAGCAAGTGATCTATCAACAGCAGCACCAGGAGTTTCGGAACTGCATTTCCAGGGATTAGTCTACAAATTTGGATAATGAGGAGTAGGATCCATTTTTTACTGATCTACTTCAGTAGAACCGGAGTGGTGTTGCTATAGTTTTTAACTTTAATTTAAATTGGATGATGGTGACCCAAAGCAATGAAAAAAAAAATGATGTGTAACCCAGGAGTTTTTAGACACAGAAAAATCCCAGTGACAAATTAACTTGGTTTCCCACTCATATGGAAGGACCAGAAAGAATCCTACAAATTCTTACTAGGCTATTGTACACGCCACCTCCATCATTTTTGTTTATGGATAAAATGAGACTCATTCTGAAAATTAGTATGGTGTATTTGTGCAAACCAAAAAAAAAAAAAAAAAGTGAGAACTCACCACAGGCATTAAAAGGAAAGCCAAAAGTCTCTTCAGCAGGTCTGGCATTCTGTAACAACGAATCTGGTTTGTCCAAGTGGAATCCACAAATTCACCATCACTGAGATAGTAGAAAGGGAAAGAAAGCAGATTATTATATAGAGTATAAGGAGGTAACAGACCCTTCTTTTGGAACAAGGACACAAATTGGAAGATGGGAAGTTGGGAGGGAAAGAACTATTCATCCATGAGTTCAGGATCCCTCACAGGTAGATTTTTGCGCTCATGTCAGAAGCACTGAGGTGCTTCCAGGTTGGTGACATCACTGCTGCCCAGGAGATGCCCAGTTGGGGGGCTCTTTTCATGTCCTTAGCAGGAGCTGGAGCAAAAGATGAGAGCTCACCCCACCCCGCCCCATAGCAGCACTCAGGTCTCGAACATAGGCTTGCTAACATGGATTTGCTAACCTCCAACCCAGCATCTTAACCATGAGAGCTACCATGCTCTTCTCCCTTTTATCTCACAGATATATATAATCCTAGTTTAGGATAATATCTGTTGAATAACCTTTGCTGCCACTTACCACATGCTTCCATGAAAAGCCAAATAGGAAAAGGGGAGAAACAAAAGACTCAGACACTTTTTTTTCCAGCAATCAGACTACCAAATATTCATGGTATTGGAAATCATAAGCTTTAGCCTGCTCCTTGCTGGCAGGATTTATAGATTTATATAACATTTGATTTATAGAAAGGAAACAATAATAATAATAAAAAAAAATCAGACTGGCTCTTTCTATGAAATTTTGGTATTTAATCACTCACAATTTTTCCAATAATGTGGAACTTCCATCAGCATAGAGGCCTTTGGTAAAGAGTTCATCCACCAAAAAATCAATGCGAGGTGGAGTGAATGGTACCAGCTGAGAGAGGAAAGAAAAACAAACTCCATATTTAATGGTACACAATAAACATATATAAAGAGTTTACTCTGCTTTTAAAAGTTGAGCAAATTGAACCTGTTTATGGCTTGCAATTACTTCTTCCCCTAAATCTACTAAAAGCCATGTGTTCATCCATTGAATGAATGAAGCCAATTACGTATAAGAATACAGCACAGATGCACGGCCCAAGACTGACATCTTAAGACTGCCAGATCTGAGCTGCAAAAATGTGGATGGTGAAAAGGGGAGCAAAAAAAAAGCAAAAGTTCTCTTTATCTCTCCACTGGCATTTAATAGTCATTTGGATTTTTGCAGCCCAAATATAGTGAGTCTCCAAAAGGTGAGATTGTAATTTTTAATGTGACTGAAGAGGAAAATGATTGAATATATGGGGAACCATCATGCTAGTCATGTTTGCTTCTCAATGAATCTAAATACAAATGAAATGAAACTTATTCAAAGGAGACACTTGCCTTCTATCAGCTGCTTTTGGAATACCACTGGCAGCATGCCATTCAAATGCCAAGGCTCTTGCTGTCACTGTCCCCACCCAAAAAGATATTTAATCCTAGTGTAAAACTTACGGTATGCCCTGCCTCCTGTAGCAGTTTTTTTGTTTCCTGCACAGCTCTTCTCATGCTGGGAGATGGCTGGAAATAACCATCTCCATCGTAGAATCCAATCCTCAGGGGGCTGGTATGAGAGTAAATCTGAAAAGAGACAAATCTTCATTTATTCCAGTCACTAGGAAAAGAGAGCTAGACATGTTTTTAAAGGTCTAATACTGTTCCAAATCTGGGTATATAAGGAGCCTGCCTAAGATCTAATAAGCATCCAGAAAGTGCCAATCAGATATTATAGGCAGTCCTTGGATTACAATGGAATTGGGACAGGAATGTCCATTGCTACTGTATGCATGGCGGTCATAAAGTGTGACATTATGTGGCTACATAGCTTAGTGATAGCAATTTCAGCAATCCCTATTGCCATCGTTAAGCAAGGATCACATGGATCATTAAGCAAGGATCGCATGGATCATGCAAGTTTGACACGGGAGTAGGTGAGAATCCAGAATACTTGCTTATGCAGATGAAACTGCATCCCTGGCCAGTAGCCCAGCAGGCGAGAGCTATAGATGGGCAGGTTGGTGCTATGGAGTATGAGCAGGTGGACACTATGGAGTGCAAGATCCAACGCTGCCCAGGGCCTCCTCAGGAAAAAAAAAAGCATCAGAAGCAACAGTGACTTGAAGTCTCCTGCCAGCTTCCCCATTGACTTTGCTTGTGGGAAGCCAGCAAGAAACACTGCAAATTGTGATCATGTGACCATGGGATGCTGTAACCATCGTAACTTTGAGCTGGTTCCCAAGTGCCTGAATCTTGATCACATGACTGTAGAGATACTATGATGGCCGCAATTTCAACAACTGGTCATAACTTCAAATGGTTGGTGAGGACTACCTATACATAGGCAGAGGCCTACATAGACGTAAATTACATGGTGTCTCCATGGAAAGGATGGGACCAGCTACCCCTGCAGCAGCCTGAAGTGACCAATAGGACTTAGCCAGATCCCATTCCCTGATCACAATATTGATGAAGCAACCACAAGCACTGATGAAGCACTATGTGATAGTGTTCAGGGCAAAAGTTGTGGGCATCAGAGAGTAAATATATTTTAAATTTGGAAACCTACAGACAACCCTAATCTGTCTTAGCTGTGGACTGGGAGAAAGACAAAGACACAAAGAGAGTACATCATATAACAGCTACCAGGAAATACTTGTGTTGTGATTAGTGGGATGTGAGGGGGAATCCTTAGCATCCCTGCTACTTCTACAAGTAACTAATATCAAAGTTAATTAAAAATGCACAGGAGAAGAAGTTGTTAGTATGAGCTCCAGTATACTTCAATGGGGAGGGTATTCTATAAGTGGGTCTTCACAACCAAATAGCTGAAGTTCTCCTGGTGGAAACACTTAGAGACCTCCAAAAATGATATGCAGGTATATATGAGAAAGGAGATCCTTGAAAAATTCTGGCCAATACTAAGAACTATAATCAGACACACATATACACACACAGTCTGATTCATCTTTATATCCAATTTGATTACCTTGTCATTAAAGGGAAGTGGGGGCACAGCTGGATCCAGAGAAAACATCTCATCACACAGTAGGGCTTTCATGCACAACACCAGGCTATCCACGTCTCTTGCCATTGGGCCTGTCACAGAGATGACTGGAACAAAGAGAGAAAGGTCTCTGGTCTTGTTAAAGGAAGACAGGACATGGTTTTGCAGTAAAGTAAAGCTAAACAGGTCCCCTGAGAATTTGCTTTCTAATAATTAGAGGATTTTGAACTTACACAATAGTTTACTCAGGTGGCTTCATTTATCTAGCAGTTTTTGACAAGGAAAAGACTGTATTTTTACTCCTTTAGTTTCCTTGTGGTGTCATCCCATCCAACTACACTTTAAAATTCTAAGTTACTATGTCATTCTGAAATAATATCTATAAATGTAAATGAACCCGAGATCTCATTATGCAACAATAAATCCAAAAACTGTAGGGAAACAAAAAGACAAAAGACACCTCAGTGTGACTGAGCAGTGATGGGATAGGGGTCTCAAACATCCCAAAGGCCACTGGATGAGGATTATGAAACAGTAGTGTCACCTGATGTCTCCCTTTTCCCCCTACTAAATCCTTTTCAAATATATTTGTTCACCATGAAACAAATCAGAAATAGCAAAGAAGATGTTAGGCTCTTCAGGAAAGGACATGAAAGATTTTAGAGGAGAAGGAAGGAGAAAGCTTGGAGTGCAATTTTGGATGGTTGATTGATTAGCAGAAGACCTACATATCTATCAGGGAGCTTTGCCTTTTTCTCCATGAGCTGAATAACAAATTATCAACCATAGATTTGCTCACCTGAATTCATTCCAGCTACAGGAGTGGTAACACCTTTGACACTGCACAACAACAAAGGAGAAAAGCAAATTAATGACAGGTAAAACCAAAGGAAAAAGAACCATGAAATGCAGGTGATATTATTACAGGATACTAATGATACCTGCAACTATTAGAAAGACACTGAGAATATTTTCAGGATTATTCTTTTCCCTGAAAAAAATAATCAAATTATAGGCACCTTTCATTGTCCTTACAACATTGTACTTTGGCTGTGTAAAGCTGTCCCAGAGTACGCTATTTAGTATCTATATTTACTAAAACACATCTTGATTGTTTAATTATGATGCTTGAATATACTGTGAATTCAAACAACTTGACCTTCTTTCGTTGAATTTGGACTAGAACTAACAACACTACCCAAAGAGATTTGAGCTTTAAGAGAAAATGGAGAAGAAGAAAGAATGAGGACCATTTGTGATAAAAGGTTTAAACTTTATTTTGAGTCAGGGCTCAAAAGAGTTTACATTCAAACTTTGGCTTCAGAATCCTTTCTTGTAGGAAAAATGCATTTAAATTAATAATGCATTGTAATCAATAAGGGTCACTGATTAGAATCCTTTCCTTTAAGGAGACTTCCTGGGAACCATCAGTATCCATAATAGAGCTAATGTATCCTGGGCCATTTTTCCTATCCCTACCATCAAAAACCTGCAAAAAAAGGTCTAAAATGCCCATTTGATGATCCATGACTCAAGAACTAAGGAACGGAGAATGAAGAAGTAAAAGAGATGGTGACATCATTAAGTAGGTGACAGTTTCTTCTTTTCCTGTGGGTTAAGTGCCTACTATGCAAAACAGCCAAAGAAATGCCCTCTTTCTTCCCAGTAAGAAAATACCATGTGTTGCATTTAAAAAAAAATAGAGAAACCTCACACTTCAGCTATCTCCAGTCGGGGCCATTCCAGATATGTAGACTTTCAGAATTCCCAGCCATTCCTGAAGATTCTAAAAGCTGCCCTCCACACCATCTGGATGCTATATACCAGTGGTGGTGAACCTATGGCACTGCTGCCAGAGGCAGCACTCAAAGCCCTCTCTGTGGGCACACGTGCTGTTGCCCCAGCCTCACCTCTCCCCACGATCCCTCCTATCCAGCAGCCCCCCTGAAGGAGAGTTGCCCCTGAGCGTGGCCCACACAGAGCAGCGCAGCCAAGGACATGGCAGCCAGGCAGCATAGACAAGACTCTGCCCTCACACCCCATCGTGCACATTTGATGCTGCAGGGCGCGGGCAGAGGGCGTGACCACCATAGCACTGCTGGGCTGCCTGGGTGATCTGCGGCAGGCCCTGGAGGCAGTGAGTGGCCCTGCGGGCAGGCGGGGCAGGAGATGGGGGGCGGAGTGGGGGCAGGGCAGGGGGTGGAGTGGGGGCGGGGCCAGTTTTTGGGCATTCGGTCTCTAAAAGGTTCGCCATCACTGCTATAAACATTCCCATCTGGAAAATGGGGGAGAAAAAAATCTTGACAAGAGTTTGAATGAAACAAAATGTTTTGAGTGAGGGAACAGAGTTAAATATCAAGACTAACTAGCAACAGTGAATGGCGAAATATACCATTGTATATATGCTCTTCTACATATGTACGATGTGGTTACTTTTGCTTTTTCATACACAAATATAAATCTAGTTCTTTGGCATAGCTATTTTGGGAAAGTTGGGAGATATAAAACTGCAGTATTGTTTAATATCTATACCTTAATCTCAACTCCGATTTTATAAACTTCCTAGCCTACTATTCAACTTAGCACTCGCGAATATCTCTTGAGGTTGAATCAATTCTGGTGATTTCTTGCTCCAGAGGAAACAAGTCACTAACATGATCTGGTTTGGAATATATATTTGTTGTGTTTGTATTACTCAGTTATATCCTGATCAATGCCACATTTTCTCCCTGACGTTTTTCAAGTGTTTAGAACATAAAAAGAACATTTCTAGAGATTCATTCTATTGCTATGCTGTGAATGAGGCAGAGAGGCCATGGCTGGAATATGAATGAGCAGGATGAATGCTTGCATGGGAAAGAATAAATGAGAAAATGAAGGAATAAATAAAAGCGATAGGCAGAGACAGAAGGCTATATTCTACTTTTTTCTACTTTTTTGTTTTTGTTTTAGCCCACTCATCGTTAGATTCATGACCAGTTTACCTGAAGAAACGTGACCCCTCCTTCCTTTAGCAACTCTTAATTCCTAACAAATGCCTGACTTTCCTATCTAGTGAGCATTATATTTATAATCTAGATTGCTAGTTTCTTACTGGTTTCTGAAATGAAAGTCACAACAGAGAACTTATTTTGTACTGTTTATTGGCATGCCATTCACCCTTGACTTGGTTGACAATACATGATATATTATCAGTTACTTGTGAAAGTTGTGAAGAGACCAGTTTGGTCTAGTGGGTAAGACACCGGGCTAGAAACCAGGAGACTGTGAGTTCTAGATTCACCTTAGCCTTAAAAGCTGGTGTTCTCTCTCTCTCTCAGCCTGACCCATCTTGTTGTGGGGAAAATAGGAGGAGAAAAGAGTATTATCTATGTACCTCTCCTTGAGTTATTTATAAAAATAATCCAATAAATAAAAATAAAATAAAACTTACCTCACCCTATAGCCAGTTGGTTTGAATCCACAGATCCCACAAAAGCCACATGGCACCCGAATACTTGCAGCCACATCTGTCCCAATGCCAAGCATGGATCCTCCCCCTCCAATAAGAGCTGCTTCCCCTCCACTGGAGCCTCCGGAACTTTTCTTGTGGTTGGAAGGGTTCAAGGTTTGTCCAAAGACTGTATTGCCACAGTCAATACTGCGTAGGAGGGGGGAAAGGACCCGTAAGCACATCTAAGGCATGCAGAAGGAATTGACTTTGCTTATGGTGGAGCTAAGACAAGAAATTCTTGCGGAAGGCACTAAAGACATAGTCAATTTACTAGGCCTTAGGATAGAATGGAACTAAACATCTATAAGATTTGGTTTTATCTGATATGATTTTTA